CACAAAAAGTGTATCTTCTCCGTATTGTAGCAAGCTAACACCGGATTTGAGTGGTTATCACGTAGTGGATTGCTCGTTTCGGCCCCCAAATCATTAAATCTTCACCTTTCAAAAAATTTTAAATCGAGGTATTCCGACTTACTTTTTGGAAAAACTCATGTATAAAAAATGCGTATTAGTTATTTTTTTTTACTATGGTCTATGTTTTTTCGTGATTGCTTTGTTATTTAATTAATTTATTATTTTTATCCGAATAAGATTATTTATGTGCTAAAAAATTAGTAAAATAGATAAATTATTATTTTATAAATAATTAATGTTATTAGTTGTTTAAAAAATGTTTATTATGTTTTTTAGTGTGCTATATGTTTTTTCGTGATTTTTTTGTGATTAAATTAATTTGTTATTTTAAAATATTTATTAAAATTTCATCGTCTTCGATGTTAAACTTAGCATAACAAGCAACCTCTTGCGGAGTAACAGAATACGGATATCTTTCGATTACTTTAATATTCACTGAACGTTTGCCCGCACTCATTTTTTTTACATAACAACGATACCAATCTATCGTACTCCATTGTAATTGGCAACTTAACATGACACTGTGGAAAATAACTATAGCGTACTGAGTTATTCTCCGCCACAACCTCACTCCTCCCAATATAATGAAACCCCTAATTTTTCGCTCTTCAGACATTATGACAAAATGCAAAATAACTTAAAGAACAAATATCTCGGAAGACTTGAAGGATCCTGAATGGATTTTTACCAAATTCTGAAACTCCTTAAATAAGAAAAAACCTAGTCCAGGGCGTACAATTATTTGATGTATAGCGCATACATAATAAGCGTTATACCCATATGAATTATTGGTAAGTCAGTTAAGTGTAGATGAATTATTGGTTGGGCCACATTTTATATATAGCGCGGTTATTCACCGTGCTATACCTTAACGGACAAACGTGCTATTAAGGTATAGTGCGATGAATAACCGCGCTGTATATACACTACTAGAAATTCGGTAAAAACCGACCAACGTTGGTCGGTAATGGCCAAAAACCAACCAAAACGCGACCATTTACGTGTGGACGATATTTTTGTGGTCGGAAAGGAATACCGACCAACTTTGATCGGTCAATTAAATTTAAAAAAAAAATATTGCAAAAAAAAAACCGACCAAAGTTGGTCGGTATTTTAATTATGTAATAAAAAGATTCACCATCTAGGAATCGAACCGGGGTCTATACTGTGGCAGAATACTATTCTACCACTAGACCATTGGTATATTTTGTTTTAAGACTGTCTTTTATTTGATTTATACTCTTTAATTGTATTTTCGCACGAAAATAACCGACCAAAGTTGGTCGGTTTTATTAAAAAATAAAATTACCGACCAAAGTTGGTCGGCTTTTTTAAATGACCCGCCGAATTAACCGATCAATTTTGGTCGATTTTTTTAATATTAATTTTTATTTATTTTAATTGAAAAATCGACCAAAGTTGGTCGGTTTCTTGAAACATAAATTTCGCGGGACTCAAAAATAGTTTCCAGTATTTTTGTGCCAAAGAAAATCGACCAAAGTTGGTCGGTTTCGTAAAAAATAAAATTTTAAAAAAATATTTTGAAAAACCGACCAACTTTGGTCGGTCGACCTTGGTCGATTTTTGCTGAATTTCTAGTAGTGATAAACTGGTATACAATTTTTTTTTTTTACCTATTTGTGTCGTTTGAGTCCAAAAGAACCACACTTTGGTTCCGGACTCTTATATTTGTGTTGTACATCTAAGGTGTCATTTGGTAGGATGTATAAAAATATTGCTGAATAATGTGTATTAGTAATACATGGGTTAGTAATGCAAGCATTAGTTATGCAGGGATTATATTTTATTCACTGTTTGGTGTGGTATATTAAAAATTAAAATGTATTGTATAATTTTTAAGAAATTTTATTTACAAAAATGCCTTTTATATTTTGTAGCTTCAAAGGAATTTAAGGATAATTTTATCTTAAACCGTGGTAATGCATGCATTAATAGCCTTGGTATTACTAACATCATCGTTTGCTACTAATACCATCTTGAAGAAATGCAGGGTAAGGTTGCGTACAATAGACCCTTGTGATCCGGCTATTCCCCCAACCTCACGCACAACGGGAGGTTAGTGCACCAGGTTGCCCGCTATATATTATTTATACATAGGATAATACTAAATAGATTGTATAACTAATACTTACATTAATAATACATAGATTAAAAAAATATACCAAACAAGAGATTAGTAATACCAAAAACTAATGCATACATTATTTTTCTCTCATACATCCTGCCCTAAGATCCCTAACATGTTTGCTTAATGGGTTTCTTGTGCATCGCCAAAAGTTCCGAAATTAATTATTTCTTTGCTTTCCATTATTTAATGGATCTTGGAACAATCAAAATATCATAGAAAATAATCTCTTAATAAAAATTCCTTTTAGTAGACTTGTTCATAATCTAATATATCTAGGATCTAGAAAACCAGAAGTCCTAGGAACACTATTTACGAAGGGTGTGAGATCAAAACTCAAGTTATTTGCAGGCCAGAAATTTTACCAATAGAAAGAAACGAAGAAAAGGACATGGTGAAAACTCATAAAAATCTTTGGAACACTAAAAATGAAAATATCTAAGCAAGTGGGACCAACATTATGTCAAAGATTGGTACCTTATGGTTTAATGTGAATCAAACATCCAATCATCTCAGCACAAAAGGATTGTCCTAATATTTTTGATTTGATTACTTCATCTTAGGAATATAGCTGCAGACCTCATTGGAAAGCTTGAGACTATTATGTCCTTTTCTTTGTTTCTTTCTTAAGAAGCACAAGCAATTGGAGTAATGCAATGTGCCATTGTTGGGTTTTTTGTTTTTTCGCCACTAAATCGAATTTTTGTCGCGTAAGCCCTACTAAAGGAAAAAAAACTTCCCACTAGACATTTCTTTATTCGAAATGAAGACCCCAACTTTATCTGATATATTCATTAAGTTACAAAACTATTTTTGTCGCATTAAAAAAACTTAACTTTAGCCAGTAAAGACACAAAAATTAATTATTGTCCGTCCATTAAAATAGTTAGAACTTAAACTCATAAAATTATTTTTGTCACATTAATAATAATTATACTTTACCCACTATAACATCAAATTCACTATACAAAAAATAGTTTTATAACTACTATATTGTTATAATAGGGTGGTGCTTGCTTCTCATTTTCAATCATCGGCTAATATCAGTTTGTGCTGAAAAGCCCTTTTCTTCTATTCTCATGCCTTAAAAATATGGTGACTTTGATAAGTGAATCTAAGTATCAAACTTATTAACATATGCATATGGTCCTAAACTCATACAACACTTTTTCTTAGTGTGTATGTGCATATATGCTTGATAAGATAGTGCAGAATGTGAATTTGATCCTACACCATTACGCATTATTTAATTTCACTTGTTCCCACTGTTTGTATAAATAGTGGCAAAGAATATGAATTTGATCCCAACACTAGTAGCACTTAATTTTGACAAAGACAATAGCTACACTTGTTATTCCAAACCTAATTTTATTCTGCTAAATGACGATACCCTTTACAGGATTCTCCTTCCACTGTAAAAGTCATTTAAAAAAAAACCACTTCTCAATCCATTTTGCCCCGGCTTTCCACCACAAGAGATTGAATCTCTTTTAACATGCAAAAGGTTTAAGTGGGCGAAACCAGGAATTTTGCAAAAGATATTCAAGATTAATATATATATTTATAAAAAATAATTTTTGATTTATATACATAATATAATTTTTTTTATATACTCAGTGTAATTTTCCGATGAAAAGTGAGTGTCGGGACAAGGTTCAGTTCAAACTCTGTATTTTTCTTTAAAAAAAAAATTATACTATTAAATATATATAAACTACAACTCCACTAAGAACCCAATAACTCCGAGTTCACGTACATTGAAATCTTGGCTCTGCCCCTAACTTTTCCCTATGAGATATTAGTTTTGCCTAAGTCACGCTTTGGAGTATATTTCTGTTACACTACGTAAAAACCAACCTATTAAAAGGGGCACCAGAGATTAAAAGGTAAAAATAGAAGGTAAAAGAGCCAAGGGATGAAAAAAATAAAAATGAAGGAAAAAGGAGAATGGAACAAAGTTGTTTATTTCTGTCTTTTAAAGCTCTTTTTGAAACAATGGATAAAGGGAGGAGATCAAATTATACAATTGAAACAATTAAGATCTCTACCTTTTTCTCTTCAAATTAGTTGAAAGACTACTCCTCCAACAAAGTCTCTCAATCCTCGTACTCACATCAGCACAATCACAGAACATTAAAACAAATCCACATAATCCTCAAGAAGAAGAAGACCCTGAAACTCTAGGAGAAGTTACTGGAAACAACGGCAAAAGCTGTGGCTCAGAATCTCTAGGCGTTCTCCTTGGCGAAGGATGCATATAAAACTTCTTCTCAGCAATAGCTTTATCCTCTTCTGAAAGATTACTCAACGGAGATGACTTGTTAAATGTGTCTTCGATCAATGGCGTAACTGGGCTTAAAGCAAGCGAAGGGAAATCAAGAATACTGGGCGATAAAATCTCGGGCTTGTTCCGAGGTGAAAAACTACTTGAATTATGGGCTGAATGAAGCCCAGGAATCAAAGGGCTAATCATTAGCCCATTTTTTAAACTGTTTCTTCTTTCGTAGAGCTTGAAACCGGGTTTTTTAGGAGCAGTTCTAATAGGAGGAATGGTCCCTTTATTGGAAGATGAAGATGAAGATGGATCTGCTTGTTTTGCAGTTTCAGAGGAACCAGTGAGCATTTGAACAACTTGTTTAAAGGAAGAAGTATCAGCTTGTACAAAAGTTGTTGGGTAAGGGTTGTTTGTTTCAGATCTAGAGATTGTTTTTGGGGTCAGTGGTGGGGTTGGATTTTGGATTACTGATCCATTGCTGTTGCTGTTTGGACTTGTTCCATTGCTTCTTGGTGAGTTTATTGAAGATGGGTTCTCTCTATCTTGAATTCTTGAGGTCATTTCCATTGTATCTCAAATGCTCTCTTTTTTTGGCTAATAGATGAAGAAGAATTGAGAGAAAGAATGTTGGAGTGAAAAATAAGGCTATGGTGAGAGGAATTTGCTTTTGTATTTGTGCAAAGTGCATTTGCTTCAAAGTCTTTCTTTTTGTCTTTAAGACTAATTTTCTCACCTCAGCAACAAAAGAGAGTGAAAGACTCTTTCTTTTTCTCTATTTCTCTTTGTTATATTGGGTTTGCTTTTGCTTTATGGTGGGAGGTGGTGGGGGTGAAAAAAAAAAGGGATGGTTGATTGGGTAGAGAGAAAATGCAACCCACAATGGTCAATATAGATAAGAAAAAGGAAAGAAAAGAAAAGAAAAGAAAAGGTAGGGGGGGTATTGATGTAGTTTGGAATTTAGGGCGTCAGCGTCAGAAGTGGCCAAAGAGTGGGAATTTCAATTTCAAAGTATTTGAGCTGTACATTGACTTCAGAGCCCTGACCCTGACCCCTTCTCTGGCCCTCTGTACTCTAAAACTAAGAGAAAGCCTACACACTACACTCACTGCTGTTTTGATTGGGTGTGTGAAGGATGCTAACATGTCATCTGTATACATGACATCTTTATCAACTTCAACATATGTGAATGAAAAACTTTCGATAAGGGATATTTTTGCCTTAAGATGAGCACCATGTGATAAGAATTTAAATTAGTAGTCAGTGATGGATCCAAAAATTTCATTAAGGGGTATCAAAATATAAATAATTAGATACATCAAAAAGTGAAAGCGAGTCAACGTTTAGTAAATATACATAAAATAAAAAAAATTATCTAGCAGAATAGTGTAATTTTCCGGCGAAGGAGTATCGCTTGACACCCCTTACTTCAATGTGGCTCCGCCATTGTTAGTAGGACATTCGCTCTTTTCTTTATCCAGTGTAGCTGAACTTTCTTGTTTATGCGATGAGAAACTTACTGAGTATTAAAATGAATTGGTAGAAAGTAAGTCAGCCGCCCAATGATTACTAGCAATTCCGGCTCGTATACTAGATAGTTATACAAAAGAAATATCTTTATGAACAAAATAATACATTCATAGTCAGTTGATTTCTAAATTGAGAGATATTTATTCTAAAAAATATACTTCCATTATTATTTATATTTATTTTTCATATATAATTGTTGGAGTTTAAAACACTGAATTTTGTTGTATCCGCCGCACTTACCACTTTCGAAAAGGTCCAAGTGTCCGTAAATTTTAATGAAGGAAAAGAGGAAAGTTGTGAGAAACAGCGTCCGTGACTTGGGCACTTTGAGCCGCTTGTCTTGTTTTTCTTCCTTCAAATCATTGAGGAGACATTTTCGTGATTGAACCTACAAATTTTCTCCTCTCTCTTCTGTTTTATCTTGTCTTTACTTTTATTTCTTTTTCTTTTTTGTATATTTAAATCTTAGATTAATACTGTTTACAAGGATTAAAATCAAAAAAATACTACTTCTATTCTATTATAAAGTATTGGTTTTACCTGGTGGGGCTACAATGCAAGGTCCTTTTTCTTTAAAAATTTCAGGTACTTATTGTTTATAAATGTCTTGTCATACCAAATAGTAGCAAAAGATATTGGTCCCAAAGTTTCAGCGATCAATATTGCCTAACAAGTTCAGTCAACCACTTAACGCATCGGATATGTTAGAATATGAAAACAAAAACAAAAAACATACATTAAACACAAAGCAATTTCAATAATTGAATGATTAATTTTCTATGTGGAAGTTTATTTATAGCCTGTACACAAATTTTGCTTCCACAACAAATTATTTGCTTTACAAAGTCGTAATTAATGAGAGATATTTAGTCAATAGTTAACGATTAGTGGGTATTAAAAGTTATATCCCTTCCTATAAACACTTATTTGAAGTAATGGGAAATCATTTTTGAGCACTTGAAAAAGGTATGATCAAATTCCCATTCAATTGGAATTGAAAATACTGATAATTAAAGGATTAGAATTTAGAAACGAGGTGGAGCACCAAATAAAATAGCACTAAGTACTGCAATTATTTTCAAGAACAGACACGTACACCTTTCTTTGAATTCTTCATTTAATTATTCAATATAATTATTAATTTGTTGAATAAATGGAGTTTCCAAGCCCTTATGAAAAAGCAATTGTTAACTTCTACAAGTGTTCAAGTAGTAAAGTTAAACGAGCAATCAACGTGCTTAGTCTTATTGGTTTAACTCCGATGCTGACTAAGTTTGAAATTAATTACTAATTCTATGATCTTAATAATATTTACTTCGGCCGGCTTGACTTAAATTGTTAGACAATGTTTTCACAGTAGGTGGGCTGTAATTATTATTATAATTATTATTTGGGTGCTTTATATGTTTGGATTGAATAGTGACAAGATTAAGTGAATCCTACTCTGATAATTGTTGGCCTAGCTACTCCTAGTAGGGTCCGAATTTCCATTGGTTTAATCTCTAAGTCACATGATTTTAAAATATCTTAACAATTATGATTATTATAATTAGCATCTTAGTAGGTCAGAAATTTAAGGGGGCTAAGTCACATGTGAGTTTTAAGAATATGTCCATCTCTTGAAAGCTGTCAAATTAGGAAATGGTACAACAATCCAAACACTAATTATAATATTAATCTAATTTGACTTTTCTTTTCTATTGTGCCATTCTTGCTTAGTTGTTTTCTAGAACTAATTAGCCCGAGAAGATTTATTTATTAAATTTCCTATTAACTTCAAATGACTGTAACTATGATATGATGAACTATTCAGCTTCGACTTGACAAGATATGCAGTTACTTTCACCATAAATTATATGCAGATAATATAATTTAAATCGTGGGCAAAGGCAGTGCAAACGACAAAAAGAGTAGTAAGGTGTGGAGTCATTACTTGTTTAATTTGTTGAGAATATTGGATGAGAAATAGTTGGGAGAAAAAATGGAATCATATGTCAACTGATGAAAAGATAGAAAATCCACTTAGAGATTTTTGATGGACACTTTTGAAAATATTTCATATCTCCTTTTTATTTTTTTCCAGGCAAGGAGTAGGAAATGTCTAATTGTTTATCAGTAATAAGGATGTCTTTTTTTTTTAATAAAAAAAAGTTCCCAGCCATCTTATTAGTAGGATGTCTTGAAATTCAAACTACTAGTAATACTATCGTTCGAATTATAACCTTCTGACTACTAAATTATTCTAGTTGAAGGAACAATAATACCTATACCTATTTTGGTGAACAGTATTATCCGATATATGTATTGATGAACGTAGTAGCATTAGTCGAGACTCGAGACGCACACAAGCTGACCTGAATACTATGATTATTGAAAAAAATACACTATACCTAATGTAAGTGAACTTCAATTAGTGAAATATGGAGATATCTAATTAATGGAGTATTTAAATGCTGAAAAAGCTTTGATCGACGTTGTAATTTTTTTTAAAGTGGGAACTGAGCTTAGATCTTTGCTCTTCCAGAAAATCTAATGGGAATCAATATTATTTGTCTGGTTTTGGCAACAGGACTGTCGGATCCTGAAAACGCAGAAACTAAAAAACAAAAGTGAGTTTCTTGGTTGGTTTCACAACCGCGTTGCTGCACCAGCTCAGATTATTTTAGAGGGGCAAGTCATTTTTCCACAAGATATGTAGTGAAAATTTAAGAAATTTGTTGATCGGATTAACAAGATTTTAGAACTTTTCATCGCACTTATGTAGTAAACGAAAGAAGATAAACAAATTAAAGACAAACATGAGAACATATCCTCCGAGGTTTATGATACCTCAATCGTCATACAAAGATTGTGTAAACGGTACATGAAAGACTTATCGCTTCTCCTACTGAAATATTAAATTGTTGTTCTTGGTTTTGTCTTCGTAATTTATTTTTATTTTATTTTATCTAGCAGTAGGTAAAGTAATAAATCAAAATTAAGGAAATAAGACAACTCTATAAGAAAATGAGACGATTCTCTCTTGAGCTATATCATAAAGATATATTTTCCTCTACACCAAACAAAAGTATTTTCACAAATGTCTATAATTGGTTTGTTGAAGGCTTAATCTTAAGTGAACTTAATAACATGGTTATTTAGGAAAAGGAATAGTAATGCATTTTCTTTTTAAATTATTTTGTGAGTTTCCTAGCCCGTGAATAGTGGAAGAAGAAATAAGAGAAGAGGATTTTTGTGAGATTGAAACTATGAACTTAAATTGTGTAAGATGGTGTTGATGGTACATAATTAAAACCATTAGAAAAGCAGTAATGCTTTGGATTCCTGTTTAAGACTTCAAAATCAAACAAGTACATATATATAATTAAATAATATAAATGTTATATTACCTATTACGTGTGCTTTGACTACTGTTAATCATTAGGATATTTTCATCTGAATAATCAACGAAAGAAATTTCTTCCCTTCTTCAAAGTCAGGGAAATCGTAGTACGTTAGACTATTCAAATTCAAACTAGCTGGCGAAGTGACTTAGAGAAAGTCCTTTGCCGAATTTGTCGTTCCTTATTAGGGTTCCTAAGAATATTTCCATCTTATTTGTAGCTCAGAATTATAGGGCGGCTCATTAACTTTGATGTCTAATTATCTGTTAGTTTTCCCTTTCTTGCACGCAAGAGTTTGACTTAAGTGTCAATAAATTGGATTAAAATCATGAGAAATTAAAGTTCACATTCCAATAAATTCAAGACCATACTTCTTTTTTTCATCCTGTCTTTGTGCAGAATTACTCAATACAATACCATTATGAAAGACAAAAATCATCTATCTAAATTTTGGTGGCAGAGTTAGTTTCCCTTTTGACCTTTGCATCGCTGTAATGAAAAGGAAAAATATTGAATAATATCTTAGTTTTAAGCAACGACAGATAGGAGTGTATAAATAAAACCAACAAATCACACAAACCGATAATTTGAGTCAAACTGAGAAAAAAAAACCCGCCTATGATTTGGTTTGGTGTGGGGAAAAAAACCCGATCATATTTAATTTGGTTTTAACTAAAAGAGGTCAAACCGAAACCAAACCAACCCGACATTATATGTATCGATGTATTAAATGTATTTAATACATAAAAATATTTATGGTAGTGTAGTTTATAAATATTTCTTAAGTTTTTTCATAATTTTATCTTTTAATTAACGTATTATTTCAAGCTTGGGCTTATAATTTTTAGATGCTCCAATAAGTTTTATAGTCCATAAATGTTAGTAAATCAAATAAATCCTAAACCAAAATCAAATCAATACTAATGCTAATAAAAGACATTCAATTCAATTATACTATGAATGA